GGAACACCCGTCGAACTGAAAAACGGGACAGGTTCAACTGTCGAGCAACGTCACAGTGCCGCATCCCCGACTGCAATAGGGCAATCACTTGAGCGGCTTCTTCAGAGCTGGTGTCCATCTTTACTTGTTCTTACTTGGGTTACTTGTTCACGTGTGTTCACTGCAAAGTCTAAATTACGACTGACCCATATTTCATCCAGATCGACCCTTTTATACCCTTTTTAGGTGGTGTAACTAGCGTCCTTACTAACGAGCATTTGACAGTGTTTATTTTTAACGCTCTATAATGATAAATGTTTTAATGATTTCATGATTTTTTTTATTAATAATGTAAAGCTATTCAAATACCCATTTCAAACATACCAATATTTATATAAATTTAATTCGTTTCTAGTCATTACAGCCATTTTTCGCGCAAACTCAGAGAGGTGCGATTTTTGTGACGCTGAGTGTAGTTACCGCCCTATAGCACTATCATCAACTCTGTGCAAAATAATGGAGCATTTAATTGAAAACCGTCTAGAATGGTTTGTTGAAAATAAAGGTCTTTTGGCCAAAACACAGTTTGGATTGCGAAAGGGACTGAGCACGCTTGATAGCTTGTCTGTTTTTACCTCTGATATACGCTCGGCTTTTTCCCGAGAAGAATCGGTTGGTGCTGTTTTTCTAGATGTATCATCAGCCTATGATAACGTTGTCCTCCCTTTACTCAAAGAAAAGATGCTTCTTTTGGATATTCCCCATAGAATTACTCGCATTATTTTTAATTTACTTTCAGTTATATATATGTATAAGAGTTCAAGGAAAACTGCTCCCTCCTAGACAGATATGGCGAGGCCTCCCACAAGGTTCTGTTTTAAGTCCTATTTTATTTAACATATACACCCATAATCTCGAACATTCTGTTAACTCCTTTTGTAAAGTCTTACAATATGCTGACGATCTAACTCTTTATTACTCTTCTAAGAACTTTACAGACTTGAGTTATCGTCTTAACTCTGCATTGTTCTACTTAAATAATTGGCTTACTAATAACGGTCTATCCTTATCACCTACAAAGAGTAGAGTAGTAATATCCTCTAGAAAAAGATTTTGTCCCAATATTTCAATCTCAGTACAAAATCAAATAATTCCGACAAGTGATAATGTTAAATTCCTAGGTGTTTTTCTGGATTCTAAGATGACAGGTATTCCTCATTTAACGTTTATTGCCCAAAAATGCGAAAAGAATGTAAATATCCTTCGTTCACTGACAGGTGTTTGGTGGGGATCTCATCAATATTGTTTAAAACTTTTATATAACGCTCTAATCCGTAGTCATTTTGACTACGGTACATTTCTTTTGGAACCTTGTAATAAACAAGCTCTTAACCTTTTAGATAAAATCCAACTCAAGTGCTTACGAATTATTTTAGGGGCCATGAAATCATCTCCATCAAATGCTCTACAAGTTGAATGTGGCGAACCTCCTCTTTACCTACGTAGACAGTATCTTGCCGATCGCTTTATATATCGAATATTTCAGCTATCTTCACACCCACTGCTTTCTAAACTGCATTCTTTGAACTCTGGTTTGAAGAATAACAACTACTGGACTCATAAAGACGTTACCTGTATTCTTAAAAGCTACCAAAAGATACTTACCTTCAAATTTCCCATATTTTAAAGTATGATTAATCCTCTATTCGTACATCCATTTGAAGCTTTATGTTATCACCCTCCAGTTATTTTTTTAGTTTATTTGATTTTGGTGTGACTAAAAATTCCCCTGTAGCCCAAGAAAAATTTCTAAGTATATTACGTGAAAAATGGGAAGGCTGGTTGACCCTTTTTACTGATGCATCCGAACTCTCCGATAATAGTTTTGTAGGTTGAGCTGTCTGGATACCAAAATATAAAATTATTTTAAATTTTAAAAATTCAAATGTTACTTCAATTTTCACTGGTGAAGCGGTTGCTATTTTCGAAGCAATTTTATTTATAGAAGCACATAAAATTAACAAATGTATTGTTTTTACTGACTCATATAGTTCATTACAAAGCATTTCATCTAACCCGTTTCGAAGTAAATCGAAATTCCCAATTATTTTTTAAATAAAAGATGCTCTGTATAGGTCTTTTTGTCAAGGTCTTAACCTGAAACTTGCTTGGCTGCCAAGTCATAATGGCATACGTGACAACGAATTTGTTGATTCCTTAGCAAAGCAGCATCTATTTCTGGTACCCTCATGCATCATATAACATATACTCATGACCTTATTTCTCTTGCGAAAATCCATCAGATGTCAGATTGGAACTCTCTTTGGAAAAAAACTCAGAAGTCTATCGGTAAATATTATGCAGAACTCCAACCTGACATCCCCTCCAAACCATGGTTTTTTAAATTTAGAAATGGTTCCAAACATAGCACATCTGTCATATGTAGAGTTAGATTGGGACACACTTGTACACCTGTATTTTTGGCAAAACTTAAGATTAAAGATAGCTCAATTTGTGAGTGTGGATTAGACAAAGGTACGATCGATCATAAATTTTTTAACTGCCCTAACCTCTCCGTTTCATTATACGATTTTCTTCCTAATAACATTCTTGCTACATATATATTTATCTATGATAACATTCCTCGTCCTGTAAATCTTAAGTCTTTGTTAAATTTAGTTTTCACTCCTTTTGTTCAAACTTTATTAGATTTCATATCCATTAATAACATTAAACTATAGTACATTTGCCACTTACCTATATCCATATTATTATATTAGCAATAATTTTGTAAAAATATTATAATGTTAATTCATTCGAAAATAACTACATAGGTAAGTAAGTTCGTAACATAAAGTTAAGTAAGCGCATCTACGGAAACGGTAACTAGTAAATACTCTGTGTGACTCTCATGAAATACTTGACGCTGGGAGTTTTGGCGGGAAATTGACCGGCGGCGGTTTGCTGCTCCTGTATTATTGTTTAAATAATGGTTTGAAGTGGACTTTGATATGTAAAAGTGTTGCGATTTTGTGTATTAAGTGTCTACGTATGTGAACTATTAGTGGAAACAGTGAAACAAGTGCTCTGATGGTGATGGATTCTCAAGATAAGCTGTTTGTTTGCATAGGCACCTTTAGATACCATCGCCAACTATCAGCTGTCTGCTGGATCAAGTTGCCGCCAAAATCTCCCAAGAACTGCACAATGTGACGCATCAACATATTGTGAAGCAGTATACTATGAAGGAGTGGGGAAATTACAATAAACCGAATAAAAATACTTAAGACTTGGCCTAAAGGTATAGATACCAGGCCATAAACTCCAAAAAAAAAATACTTGACGCTGAGAAAAATATGTGGGTTTTGGCGGGAAATTGACCGGCGGCGGTTTGCTGCTCCTGTATTATTGTTTAAATAATGGTTTGAAGTAGGCATGGGTAATATCACTTTTACCCTATATCAAATCGTACCTATGTATTGGATATGAAAATCCGATTTTGTATCTATATATTTCAATATCTATATATTTGTTAATATCTTCGTTCTGAAAAGAAGTCAGTACTCAGTATTACATTTGTGATACGCGATTTATGAACAAATTTCCATATATTGATTTATGGATATATTGTATTATTTATGTAATATAAGTATTCTTAATGTATCTCATAATATAAAAAGTAGGATTTATCCTGCGAGATAATGAAATAGAATATTAAATTTAATCGTGTAGTGTTTATGTCATCTAGCGTAATATGTACGTACCACCTTGAGCGTTAATCAATTTTTGTTCGATAAAATCACTTTACGTATAGAATCTAGAAGGTGGCGCTTTTACAAAGTATTTTTACCTCTAAAGAATAATATTTTAAAAATATTTAATATTATTTTAATTTATTACACTTAACTTTTGGCTCTCCATGTTTAAAAACAAGGATTGCAACATTTATTTGCTATAAAATTAAACCTTTATATTTTATGCCACACTTGTAGTTATGATTAGTGGTTATATTATACCCCTACGCCAAAGGAAATTATCCCATATCTAGAAAGCGAGTATAGTTTTTCAGAATTGATGAAATAAACTTTCCGTCATAATTTTCTGTTTTAATTTACATACCAAAAATAACATTCTATTAAATACACAATAAGATCTAAAATAGTTTATTTTGAAAACAGTGCAACACAACAAAGTAATAATAAAATTATACTACTTAGACTGGATATTGAAAATTATGTGTTCTGTAATAAATCGTATGGTACTACTAATAAGGATTAATATTAAAAATACTAAGCGTAAGCGTATCACCTTTTCGTTGTAAAGTAGTCGTAATATCTGTTTTAGCGATATATTCTATCGCACTCAAGGTTTGTTCGGTATCCGAATCAGTGTATATATTTAGATATTTTACGTTTCGGTTTTTTGAGTAGATATTAGATATTCTGCGATGACTCATATCAACACCGTATCGTAAAATCGTAATATCTAATACATAGTTAGTTTGTCGTCGGATATATAGATGTTGGATATTGTACTGATATATAGATATTGTATCTATATACGATTTGTATCGCCCACTCCTAGTTTGAAGTGGACTTTGATATGTAAAAGTGTTGCGATTTTGTGTATTAAGTGTCTACGCATGTGAACTATTAGTGGAAACAGTGAAACAAGTGCTCTGATGGTGATAGATTCTCAAGATAAGCTGTTTGTTTGCATAGGCACCTTTAGATACCATCGCCAACTATCAGCTGTCTGCTGGATCAAGTTGCCGCCAAAATCTCCCAAGAACTGCACAATGTGACGCATCAACATATTGTGAAGCAGTATACTATGAAGGAGTGGGGAAAAATAAACCGAATAAAAATACTTAAGACTTGGCCTAAAGGTCTAGATACCAGGCCATGAACTCCAAAAAAAAAATACTTGACGCTGACAGAATCCATTGGAAGTTGCCAAACTAGGAAAAAAAAAACGATAATCATCGAACATCCCTACAACAAGTGAAAAGTCCGGTTTGTTGATGAAAAAGTGATGAAAAAGAGAATTCAATAATCAATTTTAATAAAGCTATAGAAAACAGCAATGGCCTTTAGTGAAGGTGAAGTTTGTAGAATTTGTTTAGGCGTTAATGTACACATGGTTGTACTTAAGGAGACTGGCCTCCAAAATTTGTATAGGACATTGACAAACAGTTTTGTAAGTTTTTTAATATTTATTTATTGCTAAATGAAGTTGCGGTAATTTGTTGTTATCACTGGAGAAATACATTATGATACCCGATATATGTTCTAAGATGTAGTGTTAAATATAATGACAAATACAACCAGAACCTGAACTACAACAATTAGCCTGGTATACTGGGACGCACTAAAATCAGTATTATCATTTAAGTAAAGCCTAGTAGGATATACTTTGGTACGAAAGGAGCGGCATATTGCGCAACATGTTTCTAAACTACTACGTGGAATGTCCCAAGACATACCTATGTCGCGGAACTTTGCAGGCCACACTAGTCAGTGCTTATAGAAATGTCGCCGGAGAAGGTTGTGGCGATTAGTGCTGCGTACGTAGTTCTTATTTCGGGAGTGAAACGTAAGCGAAAAAGAAGGTGGTGGATGCGAGATTCCTTACTACAATGTGAAGGAAGAGTAATTAATATTTTAAGTGATCTCTGACTGTCTGACGGATCTTGTGTGAATTTTACCCGAATGTCAACATCTGACTTTGAAACTTTATAAGAAATGATCGGACCTTCCATAGCCAAACAAGATCCTATACTACGGAATGCTGTTGCCCTCATATTAGTATCAGACTTGGCGTTGCATTAAGATACTTGTCAACTAGAGTTTCTTATGCTTCCTTGTCATACACTTTTCGAGTGTATTGAAACAACTGATTGGCAGAATAGTACCAGAAGTTAGTGGTTAGAAGTATCCCATAACAAAACATGACTCTGGTAAAGTTTAAGAAGTAAAAGCATGGTTTTGTTTCCTCACACAATTGACATGTTGCAAGGCAAGTTGTGCACACAACTACACCTGGTAACAAATGATGTGACGCTGATGCTGGACATGTGTTCTCCCTCTCGGAGCGGGAGCAAGCAACATGTCCCACGTCCCTTACAATGTTCCGTGTCACTGTGCAATGTTGCATCGTCATGTAGATTGAGTGTTCCACATCATGTTGCGGGCCAAACTGGCCTTCATCTGGGGCTTCATTGTACTACATACTAAAAGATATGCCGAGACTGTTTGCAACACGCGTTAGAGCCCGTGGGCCCAAATTTACAGAGTCAGTCCCATAAAAAGATGCCCTGCGCCTCCTTCCATGCAACTTGCACTGCTGCATAGATTTTGTTCCTGGTGTCTGTTCTAGTACATATTTCTTGAATGAGTATTATTGTGATTTTCTATCAAGAAATTAACATTTACCCTGGTTTGGTTGTTCAGCAAATTAAAACAATTCTATTGGACTATTAAAATGAGAGAATAGAGTAGAAAGACTTATTATCATTATTTTATATGTGGTAGAGCCAGGCTGCAGCTATATTATGGTTGTGTCATGGATGGGTTGGCTACTGGGGTGGTACTACACTTTCACAGAATGTGTAGTACCACCCACCACCCTGTGTTTTGTTTCAAATTCCTCCTACCACACGCATTATCAGTTTACTTAGAGCGATAAGAGAAGTATTTGTAATGTTCTTAGTGATGATAGCAGTTTGAAGTTAATGTAGGTAATGTAGTTGATGGATGTAGGTGGCTTGGAACTGTATTTGTTTATTTCTGCCTAGATATCATCCTCTTACCTATTTCTGGCACCAAGCAGCAGTATGTATCCTTGGCTGAAGGACATCGAGAGCCAGGTTGTGATGCATTACATATTAGTCCTCAGAGGTAACATTGCATCTGTAGCCATTGCTTGAAGTTTGTTGCAGGTGCCCATGGTGCTCATTAGTCACTTACCATCAAGTAGATGGTAGGTTTATTTGTCACTTCAATATTATAAAAAATGATGTTGACAAAGTGAAATGTGGTAGCCAATAGATTTTATTACAAACTTATATATTTAAGTAGTATTCCATATTTATGAAGATTTTCATATTTTCAGTTGGATGAGAATGAGGGACCAATAATAATCTGTTTCACCTGTCATGCAAGACTCATTCGTTGCAGAAGATTACAACAACAGGCTATTGAGTCAAATGCAGTTGTGGAGCAGTTGCTTTCAGGAGGATCCATGGTATTATCCATTTAAACCTATAATAGTCCACTGCTGAACATAGGTCTCACTCATATATTGCTTCATAGGAGGGATTTTGCCAAATTTTCCACACTTGGAAAGTTGGCAACCATAGTTTATATTAGTCGGAGTCATTATTTACGTGGTAGAGCATTTAATAGTATAGTTGTAGCACGAATGGGTCGGCTCGACCGGGGAAGGACCATGCTCTCACAGAAAACCAATGTAAAATAGCAGCTTAATGCTGCTGTGTTTTGTATGGTGAGTGTAGAGAACCGGAGACCCATTTTACTGGAAAAGAGGCATTCTATCTTAGTCCTCACGGCTGACAACACATCTGCATTTTAATTCTCAAATGAAGATAGATGTAGATGTCTATGGGCCACAGTAACTACTTACCATCAGGTGGACTGTGTGCTAGTTTGTCACCCTTATTCTATATATTAATCATTATCAGGAAGATGCTGCCGCCCAAACCCTGTTTCTGTTTCCCTCTGTTGCCACTTACGACACCCATCCTGTGGATAGGTATATATAGGATAGTGGATATTCTTACATTGTCACTGCACGATCCACTTTTCTATGCTGCTTCCCATTGTCATATGGGAGAATGTTTCTTGTGCAAAGTTAAGTTAGTCCTTCAATCCAACTTACTTTTGTTAGAGTAATAGTACTTATTTTTACAAAAACAATTATCAAACTGTTTATACTGTTATATATTACCCTATTGTATATAAACAAATCTTAATAAACAATGATAAATCTTTGTCAATTTACAGATTTTGTGAATCTGAATCTGAAAATTGTTGAGACTCGATTCTCGGGATAGATGAACTATGTACATTCTTATTTAAGTTTACGCTGAACCCTCACTTTTGTCCGGTGTTTATTATTATTTGAAGTTGTTATCAGGAAGATGCTGCCCCCCGATCTCATGTTTCAGTTTTTGTCTGTCCCTTTTTACAACATCTGCAGGATGGCATTGGATAGTCTGGATTCTCCTACTCCACCACTACAGTGGCTTTTTCTCTTATTTGAAAAAAGAATTTCCTTTCAGTCAATACCAAAACCGCATAAGGTTAGAGATGAGATTCAGTTCACACCAATTAATCATATAGATATCTGGCCTGTAGAGTGTGATAGAGAAAATGATTGTAAGGACGAAATTTTTTGCCTTGATGCCGTTAAAGTTGAGGAGGAGATTTTCGAATATGAGAATTCCAAATTGGAAGAAAATGAGAATCATGAAACAGGTAAGATATTCCCCTTTTTTGATATTATTAAAATAAGGTACAATTTACCTTATGGCAAGTGGTTACTGTAGCCCATGGACACAAAATAAAGAGGGCTTCATGTGTAATGTATTGATTTACTGATTTGCCTTTGTTTAAATTCAAAGTGCATGTCAAAAGCACTCTTATTAATACATTTAAAAATATTTTGATCCCGTATAAATGCAGCCAGTATGTATGTCACTAAGTTACATACTGGTAAGCTACCAATTATCTTTGCCATCTTCTTGGTGTCAGTACTAGGTGGTGTGACTCCATTTTTGTCTAGGAGTTGATCTATTTGTGCCTGCCGAGATGGACTCCTCCCTCCTCCTCTTACCTATTTCTGCCAGAGATGAGCGCATTGCATCATTAAATCTTCATCATTACAGCCTTCACAAGTCCACTGCTGAACATAGGTCTCAGTGGAGGACCGCCCTATACTTCGTCTACCGGTACGAGGCTGCCACTCGTGAAACTTCCTCATTCATTGTTTCAACCTACATGGCCGAAATTTCAAATTTCCAACAATTGATTCAGCATTTGAAACAATGATGTTTAATGTAACTACAACAGAAGTGAGACGACGGGTCCGTGCTTGTGTTAGGAATCGAGGCAATTATTTTGTGCATTAATAAATAAATAATTAGAATTTTTATTAGTCTGCCTACAAATTTAAATTTTCTACCTCAATCTGTTCCACGAAGTGATACCTTAAATGAAAGAGTAATAACCAATTATGTTTTCAAAACGGTTTGAACAAAACAGTATCATCCGTTTTTTTTTTAACGTAGCGTCAAAAACTTGTTTCACTAAATCGTAGAAAATTTTTGTGAACTTAGTGTCTACAAAAATGTCTGATGACACAGATGCGGAGGCCATGTTTTCTTAGATTGCTTACACAATATTTAAATAAATAAAAAAAACAGACATTTATAAAACTGGCAATTATTAGCAATTATTTGTAAAATTTTTGGTTTTATCACCAAAAACTAAAAAGTATAGTCAGACTTTGTCTAACATAACTATGGCCTAAATGATCTTTTTCAATCATCAAGTCTATCTTCCAATTATCCTGTATAATGCTTGGTTCCGTGTGTGATTTGAAGCAGCGATTATTATATTAATGTAATTATAACACGTTCAGAAGAACGTCATCATTATCATTCGAATATAGTTTCGCTACCATTCATTCCCTCCAAAAATGCATATGAGATACATTACTCAAAGTAATTGGCTAAAATACTTTATATGTATATAGAAACATTACAAGAGTATAATCATGTAAAATATTGTAATTTCTCTATTTCTCCCTGGTTTACCAATAGAGAATGCCATAAGGCATAAACTCCGCCCAGTGTTCACAGTTTGTGGTGTCTTATAATAAATAAAATGTTTAATTCTTATGTATTTCAGAACCATACATCACACCGACAAATAATTTTTCAAAACTGTCTGAGAGGAAAATTAAATCAAATTCTACTGATTGTAACATAAACGATGTTGGTAAAGGAAACCTCGATTTAGAAAGCCCTACTATTAAATCAAAGCCTAAATTGAAAAAACATAATCAACCAATTAATAAAAAAGGAAAGCATCCTGCAAAGATTATGAAAAAGAAAATTTTGAAACGAAAGAGTGTAAATATACTTATGAAAAAAACGTCAGGGGCATCAACAAAATGCATTTTTGAATGTGATGGTTGTAGCAAAAAATTTTCAAGAAAAGACATTCTCGCCAAACACATTTCATACAGTCATAAGACGCAAAAGAACTCAGTCACTACTGCAGTTCGGACACAAGTTGAACAAACTCCAGTCCCACAACTAACGGAAATATTTAATTGTGATATTTGCGAATTTAAAACATCTCAAAAACGTTGCATTTTGGTACATCTTAAAGTGCACGTCGCTGAACAAGTGTACTGTTGTAATAATTGTGATTATAAAAGTATTAAAAAACATCATTTGCAACAACATATGAAAATACATACTGGAGAAAAACCTTTTTCATGTAATATCTGTGAATATAAATGTATTAGAAAAGATGTGTTGCAAAGGCATATGAAAATACATACTGGAGAAAAACCTTTTTTATGTAATATCTGTGAATATCAATGTATTCAAAAAAGTAGTTTGCAAACGCATATGAAAATACATACTGGAGAAAAACCTTTTTCATGTAATATCTGTGAATATAAATGTGTTACAAAAAGTCATTTGCAAAAGCATATGAAAATACATACTGGAGAAAAACCTTTTTCATGTAATATCTGTGATTATAAATGTATTACAAAAGATGTGTTGCAAACACATATGAAAATACATACTGGAGAAAAACCTTTTTTGTGTCATATCTGTAAATATCAATGTATTCGAAAAAGTAATTTGCAAACACATATGAAAATACATACTGGAGAAAAACCTTTTTCATGTAATATCTGTGAATATAAATGTGTTACAAAAGGTCATTTGCAATCACATATGAAAATACATACTGGAGAAAAACCTTTTTCATGTAATATCTGTGAATATAAATGCATTCAAAAAAATAGTTTGCAAAGGCATATGAAAATACATACTGGAGAAAAACCTTTTTCATGTAATATCTGTGAATATAAATGTGTTACAAAAAGTCATTTGCAATCACATATGAAAATACATACTGGAGAAAAACCTTTTTCATGTAATATCTGTGAATATAAATGTGTTACAAAAAGTCATTTGCAATCACATATGAAAATACATACTGGAGAAAAACCTTTTTCATGTAATATCTGTGAATATAAATGTGGTACAAAAAGTCATTTGCAATCACATATGAAAATACATACTGGAGAAAAACCTTTTTCATGTAATATCTGTGAATATAAATGTATTCAAAAAAGTAGTTTGCAATCACATATGAAAATACATACTGGAGAAAAACCTTTTTCATGTAATATCTGTGAATATAAATGTATTAGAAAAGATGTGTTGCAAAGGCATATGAAAATACATACTGGAGAAAAACCTTTTTTATGTAATATCTGTGAATATCAATGTAATCGAAAAAGTAATTTGCAAACACATTTGAAAATACATACTGGAGAAAAACCTTTTTTGTGTGATATCTGTAAATATCAATGTATTCGAAAAAGTAATTTGCAAACACATATGAAAATACATACTGGAGGAAAACCTTCGGAGTGAAACTGAAACACAGAGTTCAATCTTGCCGTGGCAGCTAACTATAAATTAAAGTGAAAGAAACTTACTTTGCTACTATTTTTTTTTTGATTTAAGGCTTACTTTGATCTTATAGATTATCTTACGCTAATGAAGGAAATGATTTTGTTATTTATTGTAACGTGTGGACATTGTGATTTCTTATATTTACGTGAACACTACACATTGAATAAAACTACCTTTACGGATTTTATCGCGTTTAATTAACTTATTTTGCTTATTTTTATTAATTCCCGACGTTTTGGGTGCTTTCCAGCACCCATGGTCACGGGGGACTCAGGTGATTGACATACCGATGTCATGGTGAACCCCGAGTACCTTCAGCTTTTTTAATTATTAATTTTGGTCCTATCTACGCAGAATGAACTTACTGTATCTTGAAGTCTTGCAGTGGTGTGCTTGGGTTTAGTTTTAATTTTATTAATTACAGGATCCCAAGCAGGTGGTAGTACCCAGCCTCCCTCTCTATTAAAATTAAGATGTTATTTAATTTCAATAGCCTCACGTATCATCCTTGGCAGGAATCGATGTTCTTTCGTGAGAATTTGTGATTTATCAAATCAGATGTAATGGCGGGGGCCGTCTAGGATATGATCACAAACTGCAGACTTCCCGGAACGTTGGTGCTTCACGTCAGCTATGTGTTCTTTTACGCGGATTTTTATTGATTATTTTCTTTGCCCTATATATGAGAGACCACATTCACAATCAAGCTTGTACACTCCTGCATCTTATAGAGGAATATTGCACTTGACGGATGGTGAGAACTGACTAATCTTCTTCGGCGGCTTGAAGAATGTTCTAATAGAAGCTCGCTTCAAGATGTAGCCAATCTTGTCTGTGACACCTCTGACATATGGTAGTACAGCAGGCACACGCTCGACTGTGGCTGGCTTCACTCGGTCACTGTGACGTAGGCGCGGAACCTGAAGCTTCTTGTCGTGCAGAACCTGCTTGACGTGCTGAAGCTCGGCGGTCAGGTGTTTGCTGTCACAGATCCCTCGTGCTCTCTGTAACAAAGATTTGCCCACGGGAGCTAACTGTGAAGGATGTTGGTGGGATTCACCGTTTGAATATCGGTTTGTATGGGTCTTTTTTCTATACACAGTGTGACCTATGGTGTTATTAGGATTTCGAATGACTAACACATCTAGGAAAGCTAAAGAATTATTTGTCTCTAACTCCATAGTAAATTGAATTTTAAAGTTTATGGAATTGAGATGTTCTAAAAATGCAGTTACTTTGTCTGATGGTAAAATAGTGAAAGTATCGTCTACGTACCGCTTGTAGAACCCTGGAGTTACTGGCTTTCTCCTCCATGAAAATATCGGCGACAATAGGAGATACCGGTGAGCCCATCGCAACACCATCTACTTGCTTGTAAAACTCTTCCTTCCACAATAGATAGCCAGATGTAATGCAATGTCTGAGTAATACTGCACAGTTTGCTGGCATGTTGTTTTCCTCTAGTTTCCTAGTTACAATTGAGATGCAGTCTTCAACAGGTAGGCATGTAAATAGAGACTGAACATCAAAACTGACCATAGTTTCATTGGCAGTAAGACATAGATCTTTTATCTCACTGACAAAATGGTATGAATCCTTAGTGTGTGCTCTTGTGTGTCCTCTGAGTGGTGATAGTACTTTTGCTGGGTGTTGAGCCAATCTGTAAGTTGGCGAATCGATCTGATTCACTATTGGACGTAATAGAGCTTTCGGTTTGTGTATTTTTGGTAACCCATACAACTTCGGCGGTTTGGCACACGTAGGTATTATCGAATTAACGCCTAGATTCAGTTTCTCGGAGTATTTCTTTATTAGATCGCTAGTTGTTTTAAGTGCATTAGTTGTAGTGTCTGTTTTGAACTTTTACGTACGTACTTTCATCCGATAAAAGTTGTTGTATTTTAAAATTGTAATCCGACGTATCCATTATAACCGTAGCATTACCTTTATCTGCGCGGAGAATCGTGAGATCTGGTCTGTTGCGTAAGTTTTTCAGTGCAATAAATTCATCTTTGGGAAGATTTTGATTTCGCCGCTGAGCTTCGACGTAACAAAGATGAAATGTCTTGACGTATGGCCTCTAAATCTTCATAATAATAATAAAACATCTACTTCCAGTTCGGCTGCCGACTGGCTTTTATTTTTTTAATTTGTTTATAAACTTAACAGTATGTAGATGGCGAAGAAAATATAATATAATACAGATAACCTAATACGAGTTATAATTTCTCGCTTGTTGCTCAGTGTGTCTCTCTCGTTCTATATTGGTAAATGAGAGATACGACAAGTGACAAAATGATATGTTGAATGTGAATACTCATGATCATAAATGACACTGACGAGATAAGTTCGTGAAAGTTAATCTACGCTGCAATTATTTTTTCTTTAGATTGACAGAGAGTAGAATTAAATGAAGTGGTGAAGTTAAGCTGGTGCGTATGGCGCCCTGGGCGGTTCCGCCCACAGTGCCCCTCCCCCCACGCCCACTCTCAACCGGAGCTGACCTATCCCCAGTATCTCTAGATATCCTTCTGTGTCTACTCCCAGCTTATAACCCTTTGGAATAATATAGCCTGCTAAATGTTCCCTTTGAAGAATTCCTCCATAAAAAGAATTTCTTCACCTCCATGGTGGTATGCAGATTGCTCCTTAATTATTACAAAACGAACGGCAACAGAACGGTTATATTAATCTAATATGTCAGACTGGCTCCCCCTGGGTTCCATTAGAAGAAGAGATATTTCCTGCCTCCAAATCATTCCATCCTAACTCATCTAACTCTTTTAATGACCTTAATGAACCATTTTCAATAGTTGACCTGTAGTTAGTGCTTAAGCACCTAAAAGATTCCACTCCTGGCATTGATGGTATCCCCTACTCATTTCTTGTTAATATGGGTACTACGTGTTAGCAGTTGGTGTTGAGCATCATTAACTTTACTTTTACAACCGGTTCTATTCCAGATGACTGGAAAACACATATTATTATACCCATTTTAAAACCTGGTAAAGACCATTCTTCAGCATTAAGTTATCGCCCTATTGCTATTTTTTTATAGGATAAGGGTGACAAACGAGCACACAGTCCACCTGATGGTAAGTGGTTGCTGCGGCCCATAGACATCTACATTTATTCTCAACAAAGAATCAAAATGCAGATGCGGCGTCACCCGTGAGGACTAAGATTGAATGCCTCTTTTCCAGTAATGAGTCTCCGGTTCTCTACACTCATCATACGAAACACAGCAGCGTTAATCTGCTATTTTACAATGGTATTCTGTGAAGCGTGGTCCTTCCCTGGTCGAGCCGACCAATTCATGGCTCTCATACATAGCTCTACCACGTAGAAACTAGCTGTACTTGGGTTTTTTATTATTTGTTCGACGTTTGTTCGTTATTGTTCGAACATAAAAATTGTTTGTTCGCTTTTTAATTGTTTATAATTAATAAAACAAATTTCATCCTTAAACTGTCCCCCCTTATTGTAAATTTTAACATATATCTCTTGAATTAGTTAATTTTTACTAAATACGGTTTGTTCGATCGCTATTGACGATTGTTAGATCATAAATACAACTTAATTGTCAATTATTAAATATTTCTAAGCAATCTACTATCATGAAGTGAGACTAACCAGAAAAGAATATAATTTAAAACCCTGGATCACACCGGGACTCATCAGATGCATGAAACATAAGGACCGACTTCACCAACGCACAAAGCTTGAACCTGATAACGTTCCGCTTAAGGTCACCTATACTAGATATCGGAACTTTTTTATTGATATCTTGCGTAAACGTAAATTAGATTTTGAAACCAATAAACTAATCGAAAATAAGAATAACCCACGAAAACTCTGGAAGTCAATTAAATATTTTTGTAATTTTCCCAACAGTAAAAACGATTCCACAGAATTATTAGATATGAAATGCTCTGATATAACAAGTTCCCCACTTGACTTATGTAATAGCTATTTTTCAACGGTAGGAGTAAACCAAGCAAATCAAACACTTAATAAAATTAATAAAACTGAGCAAGATCTTGCTAGTAAAATACGAGTAAATTGTAACTTCACAGAATCATTTTTCATGACTCCCACTGATCCCAAAGAAGTTAGTGCTATGATTATGGGATTACAGAATGACAGGGCTCCTGGTATGGATGGCTTAGCTAACTCTTTAATAAAACATATAAAAGATTCGATCATCCTGACACTCACCTATATCTACAACCTAAGCCTAGAAAGCGGAGTTTTTCCATATAATTGGAAACTTGCATCTGTTTGTCCTATTTATAAAGGATGTGGCTCAAAGGTAGCTGTAAAAAATTATAGGCCCATCTCGCTATTAGGTGCCTTTTCAAAGCTACTTGAGAAGCTTGTAAACAAAAGGTTAACCGGATATTTGGAATCTCGACAGTTGATTTCGCCAGGACAATTCGGTTTTAGAAAAGGTCGAAGTACTGAAGATGCTGTGTCACTTAACATCTACGATATCATCAATACTTGACTCTAAACAGAGCTGTGTGGGCGTTTTCTTAGACTTAGCCAAGGCCTTCGACACTGTGTCAATTCCAATACTTTAAAAAAAATTAAGCTTTATGGGTGTTAGAGGTATTGCCGGTAATTGGTTTCAGAGCTATCTCACGGACCGGAAACAGTGTGTGAAGATTGGTCGGGCTGTGAGTCTGCCACAAAATGTACCTTTTGGTGTACCGCAAGGCAGCATACTTCGTCCTACGTTATTCACTGTCTATATCAATGATATGCATGACCTACCCATGGAAAACGCCCAAACTATATGTTACGCCGATGATACTGCTATCGTATTCCATGACTCAACGTGGAACGATGCTTTGTACAGTGCTGAAAGAGGTCTAAGACAGGTCTTTAGTTGGCTACAAAATAATCTCTTGACCCTAAATACCAAGAAGACTGTGTACCTATGCTTTCATAAGACAGCAGTCACTGCGCCAGTACAACAAACAGTAGTTAAGATTCATGAGCCTTCTTGCACAAGCAAATCGTGTGCCTGTGAGACCTTGAGTAGATCCGATGTAATTAAATATCTCGGTGTCCTCGTTGATGATAAACTAATATTTGAAAATCACATAATAGCTCTTTCGGCTCGAGTCAGGAAGGTTATTGGTGTTGTAAAGCATCTGATTAAATACTCTAAGATCTG